GGCTGCCATAGTGCCGTTCGTTCAAACCGACGATGTGTCGTCGTGCGATCTAAATTGCCTATTGTAGGTGACGTTAAGACACTCCAGATCCAATTTGAATCAGGTCATTTAAAGCCATGACCAGAACACTATGAACGTTTAAATCCGCTGTGTAGAAATCCGACTGTGCACTCTATCTTTCGTTTTAGGCACATTTGAGCCTATTGTGACCATAATAGTTGGCACGTGTGGACTCACCATCTCAGCCCGAGCCTGCTGCAACCGCCAAGGTCACCAAGAGGAGTGTGCAGAAAGGAGCTTCACCACATGGGCAGCAGACTGCAACCCGCGAGAAGAGAGTGGCAGCGCCACCTTCAAGGCTGAAGTATAGCCGTTTGGGAGGTCCCAAGCAAGGTGCTATGGCGGTTCAAGCGGATGAGGGAGAGGATGAGGAGATGGCCCTTTTTTTCTTCACACCCTTGCCTGGAGAACCAGCTACACTGGAGGAGGCACTGAGTGGACCCCAGAAGGAGGAGTTGAAGGCTGCCATGGATGCGGAGTTCAACAGTCTTATTGAGCATGGGACTTGGGAACTGGTTGAGTTACCCGAGGGGCGACGGCTGATCAGCAGCAAGTGGGTCTTCAAGGTGAAGAGTGGAGCTGATGGTGCGTTGGATCGGTTCAAGAGCCACTTGGTCGCCAAGGGGTTTCAGCAGAAAGATCATGTTGACTTCAAGGAGATCTTCGCTCCTGCCAGTGACATTGAGGATTGTGCTGGCTGGCGCCGCTGTGAAGGGATGGCACGTGATTGAGATGGATATCACCACTACATTTCTCAATGGAATACTGCTGGAGGATATCTACATGGCGCAGCCCGATGGCTATGAGGATGGGACCAGCCGGGTGTGCAAGCTCAAGCGCACAGGTGCTGGTACGAGAAGCTGGAGGAGGTGCTGCTGAGTGGAGGCTTCAAGACGTCCTAAGCGGATCACAGCTTGTTTATGCTTGAAGAGGGGGAGCAGCTGCTCTTGCTGCTGGTGTATGTCGATGACATACTGCTGTTCTCACCTTCCATGGAGCAGATTGAGAGGACACAGAAGCTGCTGATTGACAACTTCAAGTGCAAGATGCTGGGGGGTATCCACTACTACTTGGGGCTGCAAATTGAGAGGAATGTTGAGAGGAGGTGGCTGAAGATGCATCAGTCACACTACATCTCTGGTGTCATGGAGCGCTATGGTGTGACTGGGGGTCGCACTGTGATGACACCGTAAGAGTGATGTGGCCACGGAAGAAACACTGCGATGCGCCAGGGTCCAACGTGAAGGAGAGCAACGTGTCTGCCGAATCGGTACCTGGGCTAGGGTCTAAACAAGAACCTATGCTAGCAACAGACTAACATCCTAAACTACAAACATGCGAGTAAACAGATCCAGAAGCACTATAAAAAACATCAGCATACATAGCATGCATAGATCCTAAAGCAGTAACTCGGACACAGACATGTCTCACAGTGCGGGACCGTGTGTCTGGATGAGGGGGAACCAGTCAGGAGCAGGGCCTGGGCCGCACTCCACACGCACACGGCCAGTGAGCTAAGCAAAGCACTAACCGGGTGGGTGGAGGTGGCCACAGCGGAAGCCCTGACGAGCACCTGTCTGAACAATGTACTGACAAGACCGGGGGGGTAGCACAACGCGACGCGAAGCCGGGCGGTCCACTGCCACGACCCGCACTGCCAGGTCCGCGAGGTCCCCACTGGAAAGACGGCTACTAGAGCTGCCACTGGCCTGGACGCTGCTGTTGCGTCTGCTGTCGCTGCTGCTGCTGTCGCTGGGCCGTGTACCAGGCCGCCATGCAAGAACCTCCAACAGGCGGCCATGCAGGCCCCGAACCATCCCTAACGTCGCCTCCACCCGATACAGCAGGAGAACCACCGGTGGACGCACTAGGCTCGTCGCCGACTCCGCTGCCCCCTCCACTACTGCTAGCCCCTCCAACTCCGCTGCCCCCTCCACCTCCACTGCTGCTAGCACCCTTCCCTCCTTTCTTGCCACCCCTGCTCCTGGACTGCCCACTAGTAGCAGCGGCGGCTGCAGTCTCGTTCGACTCAGTAGAGGCAAGAGAAGCGGTAAAGGTGGGCAGCTGTCGGACAGTGCAACCCTGGAACAGTGGTGGGGGTACAGCGCCAGAGGCGGAAGCTACAAAGCAGAGGTTGCTCTCAACGTCCTTGAGCGCAGCCTCAAGGACGTTGATGGTGAGCTCGCTAGGGTGCTTCAGTAGAAGCGCGTCACTGGGCGAACCGCTCCCACTCCTCGGCAATGGGGTAAGAACCTAGCGCAGCTGGGATAGGTGGCGCAACTAGATCACCGGACGGGTGTGCCCAGAGAGTCTCACTATCCTGGCGCTGGCTCTGAAGGTATCGCTCAGCGCGGAGAAGCCAGATAGAGAAGCCTAACGGCCTACCCTCTGCGTCAAATTGAAGAACACGAGGTGTCGCCATGGTGAGCTAGTGCAGGAAACCATACTCTCGAGGTCAGGGGGGACGCGGCTTCCAGCCGCTATGAGTAGAGATAGTAGCGGCAGCAGCACGGCTGGCGTCGCGGGAGCAGCAATGGGCAGAACGATTGAGGGTGGTAGAGTGCGGTTGAGTGCTGTCAAGAGCATTCAAGCGCGATAGGGGAACGAGGTGGCCTGTCAATGAGTACGGGCAGCAGCGCTTAGCGAAGCTGCGTGCAGTTGCTGCTGCTGCACTCATGGCTCCTAGTGCCCGGGCAGCTGCGCGTGCAGTTGCTGCTGTTGCACGCGTGGCTTCTATTGCGGAGGCAGTTGTGCGTGCGTATGCAGCTGCTGCTGCGTGCGTCTGCTCGTGCGTGGCGGCGTGCATGCTACTGCACGCACTGGCGGCAGGGCAGGGCGCAGGACGGGACAGGGCGCAGGCGGGCAGGACGCGCAACGGTGGTTTAAGGGCGCGCGACGGTGGGTTAAGGGCACGCGGCGGCGGTTTCAGTACGCCCGGCGCATGCCGTGCCTACGCGTGAAGCTGCTGCTGCGCGTGCGCGTGTTGCCGTGCATGCGCGCGGGGTCTGCTTCGTGTGTGCGCTGCTATGTGCGTGCGCGCGGATCCTACAGTGCAAGTCGCGTCTGCAGCGTAGGGCAGCGCGGGGCACCAGGTAGCCGGGCGTTTCAGGGTAACGTGGCGTAACGGTGCGACATGGGGTGACACGGGGCTAATGTATAGGACCGACCTACCTAGTTGATACCAGTTAAACCCCGCGGGCCAAGAAGTTCAACCTTAGGAAGGTTGGTTGGGGCTAGCAATGCAATTGGCCAAGATTTTGGGTGTCAGGGCCAAACTCAACTGAAGTTAGGAAGGTTGAACCAATTTAGGCCTTCTTGGCCCTCCGATTTTAAGAAACTACCAAGTTCTAGCATAGGTAAGGGGAGGGGAGTACAAGAATAATGTTGAGAATTTCACATGTACCCCCTAAGATGCAACTCACTACAGCCAACCTAAAAAATATATATATAAACATAGTTCTACACAGGCGTAGGAACACGCTCTAGAGACGACCTTTGACTTGATGGATCCACCCCAATGCCCCAGATTAATACACCACCAACTCTAGCCTTTCAGCAATAGATATTTACGCTGCCTTCCTTTTATACAACAGGGCCCGCAAATCAATACACCAACTCTAGCCTTTTAGCAACAGATATTTACATTGTCTTCCTTTTACTGGGGGACTTCCATTTCAAGCGAGAACTTCACATTGAACCTGCTACACTGGAAAGTGCCACTCGAGGCAAAATAGAAGTTACCATATCGAGGGACCTTAAATCTGCAAGCAACCATGGAGGGAAGAGAGAGGGGGCAGAGAGGGAGGAGGGGGGGGCGGGGGGGGGGGGGGGGGGGGGGGGGGGGAGGGGGAGGATGCGTTGAATGCATGGGGGTCGATTCTCATCAATGTTTTTCTTTTTGGATTTCTCTAAATCTCTTTGCATGGGGGTCGATTGTCCTAGTAGGCGTAGCTTGTTTGCTCTCTTGGCTCTGGTAATACAGCTCACGAGGCATGCAAGTAGGCAAGGAGGGCATTGACATAATCATCTAAAATCCAGTGCTCGTTACCTATACTGCCATACCTACCCAAAATGCTTCAATCTACCTGTACTGGCCAGACCTACTCATACTTACTTGTGCTGGCTGCCCAGAAACACGTGTACTGCCCGGACTCACATGTACTTCCCGCCAATAGCGGGGGGTCGAAGGCGTTTCGCCTGCATGAAGTCACAGCGACCGAAAGCCTTGTTGTTGTCCATTATCCACAGGTCATGCCAAACAAAGTCCGCCCACTTGAACACTGCGAAACGGTGAGTGGGAAATAACACATGGCAAATTGTTTTAGTAGAGGTGAGTAGACACATTTCACAGGTCATGCCATGCCAGGTCCGCCCACTTGAACACTGCGAGACCGAGATGGGTAGGGAAGGACAGATGGAATGGGAAAGAGCACTGTAGCTCTTGCATTATGGGAATCGGGAATTGGGAATTGCAGGGTTCAAGGAAGGAAGGATATCAACAAGAATGGTTCCTCTGGTTTCATGGGCCACAAGAAGCATTATGGCCCACAGGCAGACCCACCCACAAGCAGGCCCACAGGCAGACCCACCCACAAGCAGGCCCACAGGCAGACCCACCCACAGGCAGGCCCACAACCAGACCCACCCACAGGGAGGCCCACAGGCAGACCCACCCAAAGGCACCGTCAGTGAAGCTCTCATGAGAAGACGCATGTGACAAAAAAGCCCGTCACAACATCGAAACTGGCGATGAAAAAGATGTCTATGAAAAAATTGTGGGGATACTTACCGCATGTCTACCTTGGTCAGATATCTCAATCTTAGAGCCCTACTGTAGTCGGGGCAGATTGGCATCTTTTTCCAAGCTTTGGTCCTGCTACGAACAGGCAAGGAAACATGCCTATGACGACGCACCTGGTTTGATGTGATTTTTTAATCGACTATGTGATTGATGACGTGAGAGAGACGAGAGAGAGAGGGAAGAGAGAGTGGAGAGAGACGGGAGAGAGAGAGTGGAGAGAGACGGGAGAGAGAGGGGAGAGAGACGGGAGAGAGAGAGGGGAGAGAGAGGGGAGAGAGACGGGAGAGACAGAGGGAAGAGCGAGTGGAGAGAGACGGGAGAGAGAGGGGAGAGAGAGTGGAGAGAGACGGGAGAGAGACGAGAGAGAGAGGGAAGAGAGAGTGGAGAGAGACGGGAGAGAGAGAGTGGAGAGAGACGGGAGAGAGAGGGGAGAGAGAGTGGAGAGAGACGGGAGAGAGGGGAGAGAGAGTGGAGAGAGACGGGAGAGAGAGGGGAGAGAGAGGGGAGAGAGACGGGAGAGAGAGAGAGGGGAGAGAGAGTGGAGAGAGACGGGAGAGAGAGGGGAAAGAGAGTGGAGAGAGACGGGAGAGAGAGAGGGGAGAGAGAGTGGAGAGAGACGGGAGAGAGAGGGGAGAGAGAGGGGAGAGAGAGGGGAGAGAGAGGGGAGAGAGAGGGGAGAGAGGGGGGAGAGAGGGGGGAGAGAGGGGAGAGAGAGGGGAAGAGAGGGGGAAGAGAGGGGGAAGAGAGGGGGAAGAGAGATGGGAGAGAGATGGAAGAGAGATGGAAGAGAGATGGAAGAGAGATGGGAAGAGAGATGGGAAGAGAGATGGGAGAGAGATGGAAGAGAGATGGAACTAAGTTGCCAAAAACGCTAGAGACCCTTTGCGTATAGCGGATATACGCTGGCGTTTACACACTAAACGCTAAACACCAGCAAATACGCTAAACGCTGGCAAATATTTTTTTGGGGCAGCCCGACCTAAAAAAATCGTGGAATAACACCCTAGATTCCCCCCTGTAATAGCCCTGGCGGTAGGAGAGTATTATGTAGTACTGTGTGTAGAAGTTGCAATCTAATTTTGGGTTAAAAAAATCACCTCTGAAACATAACACCCTAGATTCCCCCTATGATAGCCCTGGCGGTTGTTTTTGCCCTGCCCGGGGAAGTTTTTTCCCTGCCCGAAAAAGCGTATGTCCAAATCGCCCCCTAAGCGGATAGCTTATATACGCTAGCGTATATACGATAAGCGTATAAACGCTATAAGCGTATTTGGCAACTTAGAGATGGAAGAGAGATGGAAGAGAGATGGAAGAGAGATGGGAGAGAGATGGAAGAGAGATGGGAAGAGAGATGGAAGAGAGATGGAAGAGAGATGGAAGAGAGATGGGGAGAGAGATGGAAGAGAGATGGAAGAGAGATGGGAAGAGAGATGGGAGAGAGATGGAAGAGAGATGGAAGAGAGATGGGAAGAGAGATGGGAGAGAGATGGAAGAGAGATGGAAGAGAGATGGAAGAGAGATGGAAGAGAGATGGGAAGAGAGATGGGAGAGAGATGGAAAAGAGATGGAAGAGAGATGGAAGAGAGATGGGAAGAGAGATGGAAGAGAGATGGAAGAGAGATGGAAGAGAGATGGAAGAGAGATGGAAGAGAGATGGAAGAGAGATGGAAGAGAGATGGAAGAGAGATGGAAGAGAGATGGAAGAGAGATGGGAAGAGAGATGGAAGAGAGATGGAAGAGAGACGGAAGAGAGATGGAAGAGAGATGGGAAGAGAGATGGAAGAGAGATGGAAGAGAGATGGAAGAGAGATGGAAGAGAGATGGAAGAGAGATGGGAGAGAGATGGAAGAGAGATGGAAGAGAGATGGGAAGAGAGATGGGAGAGAGATGGAAGAGAGATGGAAGAGAGATGGGAAGAGAGATGGGAGAGAGATGGAAGAGAGATGGGAGAGAGATGGAAGAGAGATGAAAGAGAGATGGGTTGAGAGATGGGAGAGAGATGGGAGAGAGATGGAAGAGAGATGGGAAGAGAGATGGGAAGAGAGATGGAAGAGAGATGGAAGAGAGATGGAAGAGAGATGGAAGAGAGATGGAAGAGAGATGGAAGAGAGATGGAAGAGAGATGGGAAGAGAGATGGAAGAGAGATGGAAGAGAGACGGAAGAGAGATGGAAGAGAGATGGAAGAGAGAAGGAAGAGAGAGGGAAGAGAGAGGGGAGAGAGAGGGAAGAGAGAGGGAATAGAGAGGGAAGAGGGAGGGAAGAGGGAGGGAAGAGGGAGGGAAGAGGGAGGGAAGAGGGAGGGAAGAGGGAGGGGAGAGGGTGAGAAGAGGGAGGGGAGAGGGAGGGCAGAGGGAGGGAAGGGAGACGGAAGGGAGACGGAAGGGAGACGGAAGGGAGACGGAAGGGAGACGGAAGGGAGACGGAAGGGAGACGGAAGGGAGACGGAAGGGAGATGGAAGGGAGATGGAAGGGAGACGGAAGGGAGATGGGAAGAGAGACGGAAGAGAGATGGAAGGGAGATGGAAGGGAGAAGGAAGGGAGAGGGAAGGGAGACGGAAGGGAGACGGAAGGGAGACGGAAGAGAGATGGCTTTTGAGGCGCCTCAAAAGTCGGTCGATTTCGCCTTGTCGAGATCCCACGGGATGATGTGCGTGGCGGCCGAGTGGGTTAACGGAAAAGAGAAGGAAAAGAGATTGGAAAAGAACGCTCAGAACCACATGTGGTATCCTTCCTCTCCACCATGAGACGGGGCACTGGCAAACTGGTGGTGGATGGAAGGAAGTGAGGCGAAATAAGAGTGAAAAAGAAGGAAAAACAACAATAACAACAAACACCGAAATCAATTGAAGTTTACGCTCGAACGTATCTATGACACTACCACATGAAAGGTGAGCTTTTCGAAGTTGCCTCCTCTCAGACGAACAGGTAGGCTTGTCAGGGATGGTTTTCGGCTCGTAAATGAACAAGCAGCAGCGAACTTATGAGCAAAGGCACTCCGGAGTAATTTGAAAACCTGTCGATTGTGAATTCCAGCCTCGCAACAGCCTAGCCGTTTAACGCAGCAATGAAGGCGAGTAGGATAGGATGGAACGACTTACCTCTACTTGCTGCAGCCAGGCCGCTGCAAATGCAAGGAGTGGAGAGGTGGCAGAATGATGCGGAGGGGTGGTGGGAATGGGCAGAAGGGAGGGGAGTAAGGGAAATGAGGAAATATAAGGGAAGAGAAGTTGGTATCAGGCATCTCAAGAGGGAATAGTAAGGGAGGAAAAGTAATTAAGGCTGTGAAGAAGTGAAAGCGAGTTGAATGTCGACTCAAAAGGCACCTCAAGAGGCGTGTTACGAGAGAGAATCGAAAGGGAGAAGTTAGTAAGGCTGTGAAGGAGTGAAAGTGGGAAGCTGGGAAGTGGAGAGAAGCAAGAGAGAGGGAGGGCAAGCAGGCATCCGCAAAGGGTAGAGAGAGATGAGGAAGAGGAGGAGAGGAGAAGAGGAGGAGGAGGGGCTTACGTGTCAGGAGGAGGAGCAAGGTGCTGAATCCCAGCAAGAGGACGCTGGCGAGTGACCGAGCCATGTTACTCCTATTCCCTCCTCAGGTAAAAGAAAATCTGTACCACGGAGAAGGAATGAGGGACGAGGAGATTAATCACTCCTGCACTGTGTCAATGATCTCTAAGGCGGTGCGGAACTAAGAATGAGTGATTGAAGAGCGACTGAAGGAGGGTGCAGGATGTTCGCGGGTGCAGGAAACGGGGATATTACTTCAGCCAAGAAACGTAATAGTCAAAAAGAGGTGAAATATATTTTCAGCTGACAATTCTGGATTGGGCACATAATACAGGATGTGACTCACTCTTGCACAAACACTCTCTCATGGACTTGCTCACATACAAAAAGAGTGGCACTCTCACACAAACACACTCTCAATCACACCGTCTCTCGTTCCCCATTACTCTCTCTCGTTTCTCACATCCCTCCCTCGTCACCCTCTCTTGCTCACTCACATTCTCAGCCACCTAGCTCAGGGATCAGGTGAAAGAGAAAGGACTTGTGTTTAGATCTACATCACAGGTTGGTAGAGGGGACGGAGAGAGGAAAAAAAAAAGGATGAGAATTATTAAGAGCGACGGATTAAGAGGGAGACGACCGCAGGAAGAAAGGGATTGCTATTAGCTGGCAGGCACCGCCTTCCTTGACGCACCGACGGGAAAGGCGTCAGCGCGTTAGCGCTGTTGAAGGTGGTTGGCTAACCATGACCTAGAACGACCTAACGCGATCTACATCGACCTAAGAAGAATTCGGTTTGACGAGCTGTGACTAAGGGAAAGCGAGGACCTAAGAAGAAGAGGAGCTACCTATGTTGGGACGGTGGAAGGAGAAACACGGTAGCGGCGCGACCTGCAGTGGGAATCGAAGAGAAGGAGGGGAAGTGTGCAGAAATGGAGAAGAAAACAGCTGAAATGTCGAGATTCCAAGCGACGTGAAGAGAAGTCACGCCGGGTCAAAGGCGCGTCCAAGTAAGTCTGATTCGAACTCGAGGCGCGTTCGGTGCATGGTTGGATTTGGAAATTGAGCCGAGTACAACTCAGCTCGAAATTAGGCGCGGCGCGAGGGCGAAATCAGAAATCCTTTTGCTTATAACTTGCTTTGTGTTTTCTGTTTTTGCATGCCTTCTTCAATGAAATTACTTGAACTTTCTGCCTTGGCGTTTTCCAGCAAATTCCTTCACACAGTTGGGGCCAGAGCTTCATATGTTTGTTACTAAGACTCTAAATAGTCTTCATAGTCTAGACTAAAGGCTGCGCACGTACAAGAGCTGGTATCAGAGCTGGTTTAAGGCGTGTTCTAGCGTTTTAAGGATAGGCGGAATTTACTAAGTATGACGGGCGATCATACTGAGGCGAGTTCGGGCTCCTCTGTGAGCATTGGAGGCTCAGAACTACAGGCCATCCTAACAGCGCTAGCACAAGCTAAATTGACGGCGAAGCCAACGATTGGGCTTAGCGAGGCCCAACGATTCCATGGAGAAAATTATAGCACGTGGCGACTCAAGTTCATTCGTAGAGCGGAGGAAGTGGATCTCTGGCCGTATTATCATCCCGACAAGGAAACGGGAGAGGGCGTCCCACCATCTGCAAAAGAAAAACCAGAAGAAAATGCGTCATTCAAAAAAAGGAGTAAGCAAGCTTTTTTCCAATTGTGTCATTCAGTTTCGGACAGCATTGCAGTGGGGCTGGATCAATTTGCTGGAGAGGAGAACTCTGCCGAACGAGCCTGGGAGTACATGGAAGCTGCTTACCTTGGACTTACGGATACCAACAAAGCCGCCATTCGGAAGAAACTTCTCCTATTGAATATGGAGCCGAGGGAGAGGGTCATTGACTACATAAATCGAGCAAAGGGGTACATTGACGACCTCAAGGCTATGGGGGCAGCTGAAACTGAAGGAGAAATGATGGGGTACATCATTAGTGGGCTGCCCAAGGAGTGGGAAGCAGAGATAGGGCTCCTAACCTGCAACCCACCCGCAAATATGACCAAGCTGTTGGAGACGCTCCAAGCTCTGGAGCGGGTGAAAGCTGATCGGCTCAGGAAGGAGGTTAGCTTGAATGGAATGGGACCAGCCACACATGCTATGATAAACGCAGCAGCAACAGGGAAAGGATATGGAGGTTTCGGGGCGTGTTTTCAGTGTGGAAAGAAGGGTCATAAGCAGATAGACTGCTATGATAACCCAAGGAGCAGAAATTTCAAGGGGAAATGGAGCGGTCCGCAGCAGAAGGGGCTGCAGAACGGATGGCAGCAGAGAGAGGGGGAGGTTCGAGGTGATAACAAGATGCAGAGAGGCGGATTTTCAGGGGCATGTCACTATTGCCAGAAAATTGGGCATAGGGCAGCCAACTGCTACTCGAACCCCAACAGCAGGAACTACCAAGGAGCAAACCAGCAGCAAATCAAACCAGCAGCAGCAAAAGCAAATGCAGTGGAAGCTGAAAACAGTGAAGCGGACGTCATCTTGGGAGGAGCTCACAAGGCAAACGTGGCAAGGGCATCGGGGGTGTGTTTGGTGGCAAAGGGGTTCGGTGAAGCAGCGTGGTTCATGGACAGTGGGTGCACTCAGCACATGACCAATCACTGCGAGTGGCTTACAAATCTGAGGGACTCCAACGTACCGTATGTGCTCTTGGGGGATGAAGGGAAGCTGATTGTGAAGGGGGAAGGAGAGTTGCTACTCCAAGGAGAGTACGGGGAGCTGAAGCTGGAAAATGTTCTCTTAGTGGAGAAGCTCTCACTGAATCTAATCAGCCAGTCTCAACTTGACAGCACGGGGTGCAAAACCTTCAGCGACAAAGGAAAGTTGTGGGTTTTCAATGAGGATTGGAAGGTGGTTGCAGAAGGGAACAGAAATCAGGGGTTGTATGAAATGAAGCTGAGGAAGAAGGGGCTGGAGGATGACCTGACATCACTCGAAGGGGACCTAGCTAGGGAGGAGTTGAAGGCTCGGCTTGGTGGCTTACCTGTGAAGGAGCTGCAGCAGGAAGCTTCTGCCATGGTGGTTGGGATGGAGCAGGTGGAATTGGAGACCTTGCACAGGCGCATGGGGCATGCAAGCATGGATAGGGTCAAGGAGTTGGTCAAAAAGGGCATGGTAAAAGGTGTGGCACTGAAGGAGGGGGCTGGAAGCAAGGGAAAATGCAGCAAGTGTGTTGAAGGTAAAATCACAAAGTCCCCTCACCCCCACCACCAGGTACATGAGCCTTATGGCACCTTGGACATCGTAGCAGCCGATGTGTGTGGGCCTATGAGGGTGGCGTCACGACACGGCAGCCGCTACTTCGTTACCTTCACTGATTTGGGAACGAGGCACACATGGGTGACGGAGCTGAAAGATAAGGCAGAAGTGTTTCCTAGCTTCGTGACTTGGATGGCGGAAGCGGAACGGCAAAGTGGGAAGGTGCTGAAAGTTTTAAGGACAGATAATGGAGGGGAGTTTACCGGTGAGCTGTTCAACAAGTTTTTACAGAGCAAGGGTATCCGACGGCAGCTGACTGTACCCTACACTCCACAGCATAACAGCATAGGGGAGCGAGTGAATCGGTCTCTACTAGACAGCGTGAGGAGCATGCTGGCCGACAGTGGGTTGCCGCTGAAATTTTGGGGTGATGCATTAGCTATGGCGTGCTGGTCCAAGAACCGGCTACCTACCAAGGGACTTCGGGCAGATATGACTCCCCACGAGGCCTTCTATGGCAGGAAGCCGAATCTGGGGTTCGCTCGGGTGTGGGGAAGTATGGTGCAATACAGGGAGCCAGCCGGTCCGGATCATAAGTTGCTGCCCAAGGCTCATTGGGGGATTAACCTCGGTACCTGCTCGGTGAGCAAGGGGTGGGTGATCAAGGATGTAATTTCAGGGAAGGTCATGATCACCCGGGATGTTGTCTTCTACGAGGAGGTGAACTACCTGCAGTGGAAGGGAGTAGAGAAAGAGATTGCAGCAGCAGGGACAGCAATTGCACCGGACAAGGTGGACGATCTTTTGGAAGAAAAGGAGAGTGAGGGAGTTGGTGATGAAGGAGATGAGGAACTCGAAGATGTGGAACGGGCAGATTCAGTTGATTGGGTGTGGGAGAAGGCACCAACCAGGGAAGCGGATGAAAGCAAGGTAGTGGAGATAGCAGGGGAGCAGCCAAGCAAAGAAGTAGCTGAGGATGGCATTGATGAAGTGGCTGAAGAAGAGGGAGATGAAGAATCAGCAGCTGAAGGAGA